ACGGGCGGGTCGGGTCGGGTCGGGCGGGCGAACCCTAACGGGCGGGTCGGGTCGGGCCGGGCGGACCCTCACGGGCGGGTCGGGTCGGGCGGGCGGGACATTAAAGTATGGTGCGTGTACACTTGACACGCGTATTGGTTCAAGGAGCTGGCGTTCGGAGGTGTGTTTCCAATCTTTTATTGTGCGTGATGTGTTTGTGCTTGTGCGTGTGTTTCGTGCCGCGAGTCTCCATGAACTATATTTGTTTTGCAAAGGAGGGTCTCTTGGGCTGTGTGGTACTGGTTTGGTTGTTCGTGCTCAGACTCTTCAGCGTAGGGCGCGGTTTTGATCCTCACCGCCCCACGCCCTGCTCCTTGGGCCGCGGCGTCGGGTCGAGACTCGCCATCTCGACCGGCGCGTCCACAGACCGCCGAGTCGGAAAGGAGCTACTGTGCCTCGTTTTGCGCGCTTGTGATTATGTAGACCCATGGATGCCCAGGCCGCCCGGCCGGGTCGTGGGGCAACGGGCCGGCTACATTGGATGGAGACTAGTCCATGGTTTTCAGAAATGCTGCGCGAGCCGGAACGGCAAACCCCTGCAGTGCACAGCGGATGGACTCCGAGTCCGCTGTGCGCATTGTGCCCTGGGTCGTTCGCTCCCTTCGTTCTTGCTCGTGTCTCCTGCCAGGGCGGGAGGGCATCACTCGACAGTCCCTGGGCCGGGGGCGGTTGATGTCTCCGGGCATCTCCCCTGGCCACACACTAGTCGTTAGCGCTGGGGGGCGCCTGACCACCGCACCCTGGTGTAGGTGGAGCGCGGGTTACTGTGCGGCGCGCTGCCGGTCCTAAGGTGTCGACCTTACAGGTTTTGGCCAGGCGACCAGGGACGCCAGTGGCTACCGAGCAGTTTGGAAACGTTTGGTTCTTCTGCATTTCTCGGAGGGTGGGTGGGGGAACTTTGGCGGGCTGCGAGCGTAATCCTGTATTTCGCCAAGCTGCGAGCTGTGCGTGCCCGTGTTCTCGCTTGGTTGCTTGTGCCGCCTTCGCCTTCGGGCCGCCCGCTGCGCCGGGGTCCGGTCTTGCACCGGGCCTCTTTGGGTGGGGGTCTTGCACCCTGTTGGCATGTGATGCAACCTCGGAGGACCCAGGCCGCTTGCGAACCGTATGGGAGGGAACATCGCACGGACGGGGAGTCGCGTAAAGGGATACGCACTGTGCGTGTATGTACATTGTGTATGGTACCGTGTGTTGTGTTGTGCGTACTCGTGAGTGTGTGTGGTACGCTATTCTGTTGTGTACGTTGTCCGGGATCTGGCGGGTTTCGAGCGTAATCCTGTATTTCGCCAAGCTGCGAGCTGTGCGTGCCCGTGTTCTCGCTTGGTTGCTTGTGCCGCCTTCGCCTTCGGGCCGCCCGCTGCGCCGAGGTCCGGTCTTGCACCGGGCCTCTTTGGGTGGGGGTCTTGCACCCTGTTGGCATGTGATGCAACCTCGGAGGATCCAGGCCGCTTGCGAACCGTATGGGAGGGCACGTCGCATGGACGGGGAGTCGCATAAACGGATACGCACTGTGCGTGTATGTACAGAGTGTGTGTGGGACGCTATTATGTTGTGTACGTTGTCCGGGATCTGGCGGGTTTCGAGCGTAATCCTGTATTTCGCCAAGCTGCGAGCTGTGCGTGCCCGTGTTCTCGCTTGGTTGCTTGTGCCGCCTTCGCCTTCGGGCCGCCCGCTGCGCCGGGGTCCGGTCTTGCACCGGGCCTCTTTGGGTGGGGGTCTTGCACCCTGTTGGCATGTGATGCAACCTCGGAGGATCCAGGCCGCTTGCGAACCGTATGGGAGGGCACGTCGCATGGACGGGGAGTCGCATAAACGGATACGCACTGTGCGTGTATGTACATTGTGTATGGTACCGTGTGTTGTGTTGTGCGTACTCGTGAATGTACTCTGTGCGTACTCATGAATGTGTGTGGTACGCTATTATGTTGTGTACGTTGTCTGGCATGTACGGGCGCACAGTGATCCCAACCGCTTTTTCAAGGGGGAACCGCCCACCATTTGGACCCTGCTCAAACGAGTGTTCGGGTGTCCCTGTGGCCCGCTACGGGATATCCTCTCCTCCCCGGCTCCCCCTCCCCCTCCTCCCCCTCCTCCCCCTTTTCCTGCTCCCCCTCCTCCCCCTCCTCCCCCTTTTCCTGCTCCGCCTCCCCCTTCCTCCTGGCGGGTATCTCGTGTCGGCCTCTGCGCTTCGTCTTCTGATAGGTCGGCGGGGGCCGTCGTCCGGGCGTGCATACCCCCCAACAACAACAACTTGACACGCGTGAACCCTGACGGGCGGGTCGGGTCGGGTCGGGAGGACCCTAACGGGCGGGTCGGGTCGGGTCGGGCGGACCCTAACGAGCGGGTCGGATCGGGCGGGCGGGACATTAAAGTATGATGCATCATCGAGTTGGCACGCGTGTACCCTAACGGGCGGGTCGGGTCGGGCGGGCGGGACATTAAAGTATGATGCATCATCGAGTTGGCACGCGTGTACCCTAACGGGCGTGCGGGCGTGCGGGCGGACCCTAACGGGCGGGTCCGGTCGGGCGACAAAGACGACCACGACGTCGACGAGGTCGGCAACGACGACGACCACGACGACAACGATGACTAGAGCGACGTCTGCGACGACGACCGTAACGGAACAGTCGGGCGGGCAGATGCCAACAAGCCAGAGGGCGGGCGGACCCTAACGGGCGGGTGGGGCGGGGGGACCTTAACGGGCAGGCGTTCCCCACCTCCACGCCCACTCATCCTTCTACTTTTCCTCCTCCGCCTTCTCCTCCTCCTCCTGTCCATCCTCCTTCCCGGCGCAGGTCTGTCGAGCCGGGTCTGTCGAGCCGGGTCTGGCACACCGCATCTGGCAAACCGGGTCTGGCAAACCCCACCTCCGCGCCCACTCATCCTTCTACTCCTCCTTCTCCTCCTCCTCCTCCTCCTCCTGTCCATCCTCCTTCCCGGCGCAGGTCTGTCGAGCCGGGTCCGTCGAGCCGGGTCTGGCGCACCGCATCCGGCAAACCGGGTCTGTCGAACCGGGTCTGTCGAACCGGGTCTGTCGAACCGGGTCTGTCGAACCGGGTCTGTCTGTCTGGGTCTGTCGAACCGGGTCTGTCGAACCGGGTCTGTCGAACCGGTCTCTGGCGAACCGGTCCTTGGCGAACCGGTCCTCTGGCGAACCGGTCCTCTGGCGAACAAATCCTCTGGCGAACCGGTCCTTGGTGAACAGATCCTCTGACGAACCGGTCCTCTGCCTTTTCCCACATTTTCCTGGGGGTCGACGATTAATTATGTCTGTATGTTTTGTCCCTTCCTGAAATATTACATTCGCTCGTCCTCCTGTCTGGGGTCGGCGGGATGACATAAGCCTCTCGAGCCAATGAGTTTTGCGTGTCAGGGGTCTCTGGAGCATTCTGCTGAGGTCCTCTTGGGGCTTCTGGGGACCTTCTTGGACCCCAGTCGGGGCATCACTTGCTTCTCTTGACCACATCTTGGTCGCGCATGGCCGCCTGGACCCACCTCGGGGCCGAAAGAGCGCCCCACCTGGGCGAAATCTGGCCCCGGACCCCGCGGGCCAAATTGGGTTACGGGGGGGGGGGTGGAGAAACTTTGGAAAAAACGAACGCCCCCCAGGCCCAATTGGCCCCGTGAACCCCAAATTCGAATTTTCCAATATTCCAGCCAGGGTCCCGTAAAGTCCGGACACGCTGGACCAGGACATGCAACATCTCTCGAACCATTTTTCCAGACGACGGCACGACAATGGCTGCACAGCAGTATTCCCAGAATAAAGCAAGAAAACATATCTACAAACCTGCAACCACCCCATCGACCCAGATCGAGACCCGAATCCTGCAGTGCAGCAAGAAAGCACACACAGTGGACGACCAACTCAGTTTTTGCAGAAAAGGGTGTAGTTTCCCCGACTTTGGTCAATATTTATCCTGACTCCCAGAAGCCTGATTCAATTTTGAATCCGCAACTCCGGACTTGAGAAGTTCGATCTTCAAGCTGTGAGCCCATTATCTTCAGCCAGGAAGGTTGGATTTTCAACCTTAATCGGAGGTTCGGGGGTGAGATCGAAGTGGAACGGAGAGCACCCCTACAGGGAAATCGGTTCCGGCTTCGTGTTCGTGCCGTGCGTGCGAGGCGAAGCTGCGTGGGTGGGGAGAAGAAATTATCCTGTGGCAAGGCCGCGGCTGGACCAACAAGTTCTCCGCCCAACAACTGGTGTCGCGCGGTGTCCCGCCGGTGTCCCGCTGGTGTCCCGCTGGTGTCCCGCCGGTGTCCCGTCGAGGCTGGGCCGCGGCCGGACCAAAAAGTTCTCCGCCCGGCAACTGGTGGCGCGCGGTGTCCCGCCGGTGTCCCGCTGGTGTCCCGCTGGTGTCCCGCTGGTGTCCCGTCGTTGTCCCGTGGTGAGATCGACAGTGAGATCGATAGTGAGATCGATCATGAGACCGATAGTGAGATCGATAGTGAGATCCATAGTGAGAGATCGATAGTAAGAACTATAGTGAGATCGATCGTGATATCGATAGTGAAATCGATAGTGATATCGATAGTGAGATCGATAGTGAGATCACTCGACTGGAATCGATAGCGAGATCGATAGTGGAATCGATAGTGAGATGAATAGTGAGATCAAAAGCGAGATCGATAGTGAGACCGATAGCGAGATCGATAGTGGGATCGATAGTGGCAATGATAGTGAGATCGACAGTGAGTGAGATCGACTGTGTCCCGTCGGTGACCCATCGGTGTCCCGTCGATGTCCCGTGGTTTCACGTGCTGAGATCGATAGTGATATCGATAATGGTATCGATAGTTAGATCGATGAGACCGATAGTGAGAACGAGAGTGCGATCGATCAGATGATCGATAGTGAGATCGACTGTCAGAACAACAATCACCACGGTTGCCCATTGCTGGCCCCCTCCCCTCCCAAACCTTCTTATCACCCGCAGGGTGGTCGTATAGGTACTTTCAATTATAAATCCTGTCCTGTGCCGCAGACTCACACCCATCCACTAACAAATGCTTCGTTTCTGGACTGTGGTCTGAGCACGCCTGCCAAAGTCCACTAGTTACAGGAGCCCGAACAAGGGCAATTAAAGAGAGATCTTGGTAGAGGCTTTCGAACTGCCCGCCTCTACATCGTGGACCTCTTTTCTCTGGCTGGTCTTCGCGTGCTTCCGCAACAGATGACGCCGCTGCGTCCTTGTGATGGCAGTCTCCTTGCTTTCATCGTTTTTGCCGAACCGTTCGTCTTCCTCCATCTCCTGGCGGAATGTCCGAGCGGCGGTCTCCAGATTCGCTGGCTCGGGCCGCGCCTCATCCTCATCCTGCTGTTGTAGTACGATCGGGCCACACTCTGGCCCTCCGTGACCTCTGCTGAGAGTGCCTGTCAGAGCGGTCAGTTGCTCCCTGCTGCTGTCGTTGAGCAGCCCCGAGGTTGAGGAGCGGTCAGAGGAGGGGTCCGACTTGGCACGCCGCCCCACGGTGACGTGATCAATCCACGGCGACTCGCAATCCAGAAAGGTGTTCTTGTGCGTCAGGCCGTACGCATACGTGTCCGCCATGTACGGTCCGCGAGCTCAGCCCGCGGGGCGCCCAGCCCGAATCATCTTGAAGTGAAACGGCCTTAGGAAAAGAAGGATACAATAGACACCTGCGACAAGAAACATTTCCGGACAAGAACGGGAAGCGCCGCTTCTATGAGCTTGCGTGCGCACGCGCGCATGGAGTTGCACCCAACACGCATGCATGCGGATGGGGTGCAATCGCTGGGGTTCCCCTGCATGCCCAGATGGTTGCCATTGGTAGCTTATGTTTAATGGTTGCCTGCGCTTGCTTTGGTCAGGTGTTTCGCCTGGCCTGTGCACGTGTGTGCACGTGTGCACGTGTGTGTGTATGTGCGCGCGTGTGTGTGTGTCTCTGTGAGTGCATATGTGTCTGTATGTCTGTGTGTCCGTGTGTCTGTGTGTCTCTGTGTCTGTGTGTCTGTGTGGCTGCGTGTCTGCGTGTCTGCGTGTCTGTGTGTCTGTGTGTCTGTGTGTCTGTGTGTCTGTGTGTCTGTGTATCTGTGTGTCTGTGAGCTTGTGTGTCTGTGTGTCAGTTGTGTGTTTGTGTGTCTGTGTGTCTGTGTCTGTCTGTGTCTGGCTGTGTCTGTCTGTGTCAGTGTCTGTGCGTGTCTGTCTGTGTCAGTGTCTGCGTGCGTGTGTGCGTGTGTGCGTGTGTGCGTGTGCGTGTGCGTGTGTGCGTGTGTGCGTGTGTGCGTTTGTGCGTGTGTGCGTGTGTGCGCGTGTGCGCGTGTGCGTGTGTGCGTGCGTGCGTTTGTGTGTGCGTGTGTGAGTGCGTGCGTGCGTGCGTGCGTGCGTGCGTGCGTGTGTGCGTGCGTGCGTGCGTGTGTGCGTGCGTGCGTGCGTGCGTGTGTGCGTGTGTGCGTGTGTGCGTGTGTGCGTGTGTGCGTGTGTGCGTGCGTGTGTGCACGTGTGCGTGCACGTGTGCGTGTGTGCGTGTGTGCGTGTGTGCGTGTGTGCGTGTGCGTGTGTGCGTGCGTGCCTGTGTGCGTGTGTGCGTGTGTGTGTGCGTGTGTGCGTGTGTGTGTGTGTGTGTGTGTGTGGGTGTGTGCGTGTGTGCGTGTGTGCGTGTGTGCGTGCGCGCGCGTGCGCGCCCTGGCCAACCTCCACGAGCACTGCCGCAAGCTGGTCAGCCACGACGGTTGCCTTTTGAATCTTGAGCTGGTGGTCGACCCGACCAACCATTTCTACAAGGCAACCTGGGCGTGCCTCGCTTACATGACCAGCCCACAGCCCACGTGCCAGGACGCTCACTTCGTCCCTGAGCGCCGGCTCGCCGAGGAGCCACGAGCTACGCGCCGGAACAAGTGGCAATCGCGGCAAGAAGGCAGTCCCCGCCAACGCGCCCCGCAGGCCGCCGGCCGCCTGGAGTAGCACCACGTGCTCCTGCCCCCGGCACGGCGCCCCGCCCGACGCCAGCTACTTCGCCGCCCTGCTGCGGGCCCACGGCCGCCAGCCCCGGCCGCTCAGGCAGTCCCTCCAAGGACCTGACGGACAACCACTGCCCAGCTCATGGGCGAGGAGCTCCCTGGCCATGATGCTCTTCGCGGTCCGCGAGCCGAAGCCCCTCATGGCCCCATGTGCCAAGCGTGGCCCGATCGGAGACGTGCTGGAGGCTGTTCTCTGCATGCGCATCCCGCGCAACCCTGCCCGGCTGCGGGTCCGGGAGTGTTTCGGGGCGGCGCGCGGCATCACCGACAAGGACTTCCGCGGGCTCCGCGCGCGGCTGGAGGCGCGGACCAAGCAAGTGTCCAAACTCACGGCGGTCGCGCACCACCGCCCAGATGTGGAGGGCATGGGGTGTCTGGCTACCTGGGCGGAGATGCAGCGGGCCCCGTTCCCAACGTCCGCTCCGCTCGCGATGCTCGAGACTCTGGTGCCGCCCGCCAGCCTGGCCGCAATGGCG